CCCCGTGCTGCCCCCGTGCTGCCCCCGTCCTGCGGCTCCCCCGGGGCAGTGCGGCCGTCCTGCCCCAGAGGAGCCTGTGCGAGGTCCGTGAGCCCTGTGAGGGCGAGGTCTTGCTCCTCCCCAGTGGCCATGCCACACAGGCTGTTGGGGGCTGAGGGGCTGTGTGGACAGAATGACCCTGTGGGGACAGTGGGGCTGCCAGCACCTCCAATTCGGAGTGGGCACCCCCTTGGAGCCAGGGGGCTGGCCTCCCTGTGGCCCCACACCCCTGCCCTAGGTGGGAGGCCGGGCCAGGACCCTGAGGGGAAGAGCCCTGCTGGGACACCTGGTGACAGCGACTGTTGGGGGAGGGGCCTGCCCGAAGATGGCGGAGGGTCCCGAGGCGGTGGCCACAGGTAGGGAGGAAGCTGAAGGGCCTTATGCCTGTGCCTGAGTGCTGAGCGTTCAGGGCCTCGGGGCCGCAGCCCCACCCAGGCCCTGTTTGGGACTGGTCCCCTCTGGGCCACCTCAGTGGCAGGTGCTCCCGGGCTTGCTGAAGAGGAAAAACCGGTTTAGGGAGAAGGGAGGGAAAGCAGGAGGCTCCTTGACTTCCGGGAGGTGGGGTGGCCTTGGTGGGGCCCCTGGCTCTGGGCTCAGCCTGCAGCCGCAGGCCCTCCCTCAGCTGGTCTCTCACGTCAGAAAGCCCGAGGCCTGGCTCCGGGAGGGTTCTGAGCATCCTTGCTGCTGTCGTTTTTAGGGGCTTTGCTTGTTTTTTGTTTGTTTGTTTGTTTGTTTGTTTGTTTCCCCATAGGGCACATGCACTCATCAGAGGGAGACAGAGACAGAGACAGAGAAAGCATGCCTACTTTCTTGGATGCTGTGCTGAGACCCCATAGCCCCTCAGTCCCCAACAACCCATTCTTGAACTCCTTAGAAGCTTTCTCCTGTGAATGTGCATGTATACATATTTTTAAATAAAACTGGGGTACACACACACTTTTATTTTACACATTAGGGTCATGTTATACATTTGGTATTTCTACTTAAAATGATCTGTGAATTTCCCTGCAAGTCGAGTTTGTAAATAAGAACCTGGCCCACCTGTGCAGGCGGCTGGGGGCGTTCTGGACTGAGAGCTGGAAGCCACGGTGCTGGCCACATGTGAGTCTCCGGGGACAAACAGAAGGGGCAGCAGCATGACCGTGCCCCGCAGAGAGTTCCCCGGCCCGGCCCCTGAACGAGCGGTCCTGAGTCCTGGGCCAGCAGCTCTCGGTGGGCTGCCCCATCCTGGCCCAGCTCTGGCGGAGCCTCAGCACACCCGCACTCAGCCTGGCGCTCCTTCCTGTCGGCGGTTCCCGCACACTCTCGGTCTCAAAACACGATCTCTGCTGCTCTAGGCTCTTTCATACCGTGGACCGCTTTATAGACCGAGCTCCTGGAAGTCAGGCCAGGAATTCGCAAACACCTTGAGTGTGCGGTGCTTCTCGCAGAGCCGAGCAGACTGGGCCGTAGGGCAGTGGGGCAGAGTGAAGCCGCGGGGAAGGTCCCAGCTCTGAGCCGTGTGCACCCAGGGCCGGCTGGGGCTAAGGTGGAGTGCAGCATGACACCTTTCACACGCGCTCTCCGTCACGGGGGAGGAAGACACTCATGCACGGCCTTCAGTTACAAGGGGACAGCTCGGTCCCGGCTTGATGCCCACGGCAGGGCACGGCGGCCTCGGGAGGGCGTGCTGGAGCGGTGGTCGTGGAGCCGCAGGTGTGCACACGAGTGCGTGTGCGTGTGAACACGCATACAGTGTGGGCTGACGTGAAGCTTGTAGCGCATCGCTTTGGGCCCCACGCAGCTCCTCCGTGAGCCTGGGAAGGCTCAGCAACTCGTGAAGTGGAATCAGTTTTTCCTTGAAAAGGCCTCCCCTGATTGCAAGCTTCGAGCCGCCTATGGCCTGGACGCATCTGGGCGGGGCTCCCTGTCCTTCCTACTGGCCGTGCAGATGCGGGCGCCCTGTGGCCCTCCCTCAGAGCAGTGAGCGCAAACCCTAGGGCCTGGCTCTCCCCGCCATACCTGCTCCGATGCCAATCCACAGACCTGCTGCTTGGGCCGCGCGGAGGCCCTGCCATGCTGGTTCCATGGTGCCCCGAGGCTCGGGGAAGTGTGGCACCTCTGCAACACGCACTGTCACACCAGCTTCTCCCTTGGGAGACCTCGCCCACAGCACACTGGCACCTCTCCAACACGCACTGTCACACCAGCTTCTCCCTCGGGAGACCTCACCCATGGCACACTGGCACCTCTCCAACACGCACTGTCACACCAGCTTCTCCCTCGGGAGACCTCACCCATGGCACACTGGCACCTCTCCAACACCCACTGTCACACCAGCTTCTCCCTCGGGAGACC